TTTTATTCACTGTATTTGCTAAGTGGGGCTTACTCTAAAACAGTTGGTTATTCTATTCAATAGTGTAGTTCTTCTACATTCCATTTCTCTAAATAAAATCCTATTTTATTTTAAATGAAATATAAATCCATTATTTCATGTATTATTCTGCAGCAATTATTATCAAATAGTGTTCTTTTCAGCATCTCTAATGGTGTGCTCTTGGGTTTATGTTGAAGCTTATCTTTAAACTATTTTAAGTACTCAGAACAGATTTCACTTAGCTTCAGGAAAGAAAAGAAAATTGACAACCCCTGAAATGCCTTGATTTCTCAAAATACTACCAAGAGAGACAGGGCAACAGTGGCATTTTGATAACAGCCACCGCCATTTCAGAGGTCCCAACGCGCGGGCACTGGGAGAGGGGAGAAGCAGAGACCCCCGTGGTGTCAGGATGAGATGAACTCTGAAAAACTCGGTTCCTAGCTCTGTCCACTAAAGGTCCTAGAAAGGACAACACCCAGTAGCCAGGGGCACGTTGGTGCCCAGGTCTTGGTTTCTAGACGCTGTTCCCCACTAAGAGAACCCAGGGCTCCCTGGAGAAACGGCCGATTCTAGAGTTGGCACAGAGGAAGGACAAGATCAGCCCTGGGCAGCTCGCTGTGCCAGAAAGTGGCACGAGTTGATGGATAAATGGTAAAAGGACCCAGAAGCAGATTGGGGGGGGGGGGTCCTTCTTGTTAAACTGGGACCATTTAAACAACCAAGTGAATGACAGCAATGGGCTCTGACCTCTTGAATAGTCCATGGTTTCATGCTGACATGAAATATATAGAAAGAAGGCAACTAGCAAAGGTGAAAGCATTTCCACTTTGCAACCATCACAGTGAACAGGGACGCCGAGACCATTGTGCCCACTGGTGGTGCTTTCCCATGTTAATCATCACTTAATCATGAGAAACGGCACCTGAAAAGTGATCGAAGTATCACCAGTGTAACCTGTGACCACATGACAATGGGACAAAGTGACAGCAGGTGCCTCCCAGAGGGTGAGGGAGAAGGACAGTCACTGAGTGGTTGAATCTTGTCAAAATGCATTGGAATCAAATCAAAGAAAACCCAGACAAGGCCAAACTGAGGGTCTTTCACAAAGCAGCTCTCTGAAAACACCGGAGACTGAGGAGCCATTGCAGAGGAACAGATATTAAGAGACATAACGAGATGTACCATGTGAGCCTGGATGAGGCCAGACGACAGGTTGGGGGACATAGAACATTACTGGGAAACTGGTACAAGGACGCCTATGTTAAGTCAAATATTCAAGTATCATGGTCACTGTGATTGTCCAGATTTTGGTCTTATATCCCGTTATGTAAAAGAATGTCCTCATTCTCAGCAGACACACTCTCAAGAATTTAGGGGTCTCACAACTGACTCTCAAATGGTTTGGTTAAAACTAACAAGCAGACAGGGAGAAGGAGTGGCAAAGCCGACGTGGCAAACGCTGTGGGAGCAGGAAGGGATTCGGAACTCATTGTTCTAGTTATTTCTTCAACTTATCTGTGGCTCTGAACTTTTTCTAAATAAAGAGTCAGGCAGGGGAGGTAGGTGGGAATCTGCATACCACCTAACACACCCCTCCAGTCCTTTGTGAAAACTTCTACAAGGAAGGGCGCACTTCCTCCTCAGGGAGCAGGGGTGATGTGGGACAGGAATTTTTTCCACGGGGATTTTCATTTTTAAAGTCTTTGTGAACTGGCCTTGCGTGAACTAAAAGAACTATACTCCAAAGCACACACCCTAAGCTTCATCCACCCCAGAGCCTCTGATTACGGGCCAGTATGAGTCAACAAAGAAGCATGGGAGGCGGAGGCCAAGGAAACAGCCCAGCCCGCCTCCTGCACCAGCACAGCCAGGAACCGGGCAGGTTTTCAACCCAGGCAGAAACAGCCATGTTAGACAGGTTCAGAGCTGGGAAAGGTCATCCTGTTCTCAAACACCCGCATCCTCCCACATGGTAAGAAAAGACAATACATTAACCATTTGCCGCCGCTTCAAACAGGGAGTTTTCCTTCACTGCATCTCATCTCATCCCAGGTTACAGAAAACCATGTGCTCAAAGCCAGAGAAAACAAAAACAACAACACTGTTTCTTTCTTTTTTATTTATTTTTAAATATAATTGTATTGATTTCAGAGAGTAAGGAAGGGAGAGAGAGAGAGAGAGAGAGAGAGAGAGAGAGAGAGAAACATCAATGATGAGAGAGAATCATTGATCGAGTGCCTCCTGCATGCCCCTACTGGGGATCGAGTCCACAACCTGGGCATGTGCCCTGACTGGGTATTGAAACGGGATCTCCTGGTTCATAGGCCACACCAGCCACACCAGCACTGTTTCTTAGGTCTACTGCTGAATGTGAATGTCCTGTCTGACTTCTGAAATCTGATGACTGATAAAATCTTCAACTTAGATTCTATTTATTAACAATTAAAGAACTTCAGGTCTCACTCACCCTGGATTGTTCTTCTGTAGGATACACTAACCCATGACCCACTTTCCAGTTCTTCTCAGGTGAGTCAACTGAGTAAGTACAAAAGGACATACACGAGTAAAGAGATAGTGTTTTTTAAAAATAAGGAAACAAGTATATTATTTATGGTCCATATGTCATACAAGAGGCCAAAGGGCTGTAGCTGCTGAGCTCTTAGGCGGTGGAACAAGCCCCTTATTCGGGCTTTGTGCCCACACTGCACATGACAGAGCTGACACTGTTCATTTCACATGAGAAATGAGGGCGGAAAATTCTCTTAGACAAAAAAGCCCTGGTCACCTTCCTATCCCTGTAGAAAAGAGTAAAAATGTAGTACATAACACCATGGACCACGTGTACAGAACCTACTGAGAACACCTACACTACCTGCTGAGAACGCCGCAGTTCCTGGTGGGCAGTGAAGGAGGCTGCAGACCCCTGCAAACCCAGCTGCTACTATCAGGGGCGGTCAGGCTCTAGGAGCTCCTTTAGGTCCCTCTGTTTAAGACACCAGTCTACGGTCCTTTGAAGT